TTGCATCCTGTTCTCTTCCTTCTCCCTTGCTCCTGAAGGGATGAGACCAGTGGAGTATCTTAGATGGCCGCTCACAGGCTTTTAAGACCCCAGACACTATTCAGCAAGGTAGAGTGTAGAGCATTGTCTTTATAAGCTGTGTCATGCTGATTGAACTAGATGTTCCCCGAGACCATGGTCCTCACAGCCCTCCGCCCAGCAATTCAGTCCCTCGGGGAGTTTGGATGTGTCTATGGGACTTCCATGACCTTTCCTTGTACAGGTTGTGCTAGTTTCCCCTGTATGCATGTAGAAATTTTTGAAATGGTGTATCTTTGGCTATGTATATTTTCACCAAAACAAAACAAAAAAAAGGTTGAGCAGGGAGAGGGTTGACATGTTGTGGGGTTGTTAACCAATGTCATAAAACAAGATGTGTACTACTGTTTAATGAGAAACTATTTGTTCTGTAAACCTTCACCTGAAGTACCGTTAAAAAAAAAAAACACTATTTTACGTCAGAGTTCAGATGATTCTCCTGCTAGAATTTTGGCCAATACATTATAGTTTTCAAGAGTTCTTTTTTGTTGTTGTTTAAATAGCATCCTGTTCTTGTCCACTAGCCTCAATTTCCCGTTTTCTTTCTTGGGATACTTAGGTTTTCAAAGTTGTAGTTGTTCTCCATATTGTGCATGGTCTTTATTTCCATTGCTTGTTTTGGTCTCTTCCTTTTGTGTTGAAGGCTAGCGATCATTTGGCTGTACATAATGGGAAACTCTGAGCTGCTCTAAATCTGGTGGTGCAGTGGTTAAGCAGTCAGCTGCTAACCGAAAGGTCAGCGGTTCGAACACACCAGCCACTCCACGGGGGAAAGATGTGGCAGTCTGCTTCTGTAAAGATTACAGCCTTGGAAACTCTGTACGATAGGGTTGCAGTGAGTCAGAATGGACTCGGGGGCCAACAATTTTAAAATGATTGGAAGGGCGCGGTGGTGGTTCAGTGGTACAATTCTCGCCTTCCGTGTGGGAGACCTCACTCGTCTGTCAGCAGAGGCTTGCGAGCTGCTATGATGCTTAACAGGCTTCAGTGGCGCTTGCAGACTAAGACAACTAGGAAGAAAGGCCTGGCAATCTGCTTCCGAAAGTCAGCCAATGAAAACAATATGGATCATAATAGTCCAGTGTTGCAGGTATGTTGCAATACCGGCGGCATTTCCATTCTGTTGTCCACGGGGTTGCCATGAGTCAGGGCTGGCTCCACAGAAGCTAACAACAACAAAGCTGATTGGAAGTTCTGTATGGAGGGGAAGCGGAAGCTAACTGATAGAGCCTCACTAGAACGTGCCTTGGTGGTGAGCTGATCTTTACAGTGAGGTACCCCCAAACGTAAGGATTATTTCTCCAAAGCCGTTCAAGTTCTCGGAAAAAAATCCTCAAATCTTCTGCTTAAGGGCGGGTAGAGTAAGCTTGCCTGGGAGACGCATGGGTGTAAATGCCTGGCTGCCGATCTCTGCCTCTAGAGGTGGATGAGATGAGAAGGCTGACTGTTCACATTAAAGACCTACAGTTAAGCCCTCCTTTTTGCGTCCCAGTCTCTCCCATCTCCATTCTTAAGCACTTGGCCCGGGTACCGCCTCTGGTGTTCTGCTGGGCGGGGCCTCCTCTGATAGGAGGACACACCTATATGCCTGGAAGTAGCTTCCTCCGCTCTTCTCATCAGTCAGTACACAACCAGCCACCCTGGCTTTCCAAAAATCTGTAGAAATCTCTTGAACATTGATGGCCCCCATCCTATTGAAGTATGTCTTTTTCCCTCCTTTACTAGAATT